CCAAATCGCTGGTAAATAGCATAAGCAAGTGCTTACAAGGAGGCTTAATTTTGTGCAAGAAATCAACTTCAATTGGAGTATACTGAGCACAGTGAACAAGTGCATTATGGAAGTAGGTGCGGGATATTATTTTTATTGAACTTTTTTCAATATCCTGATGCTAAAACTGAGCTTAGGTCGGTCTGCTCTCTTTGGAAGTTATAAGAACTGGCAGAAGGGCCAAAAGGTAGGAAAAAAAAGGAAGATTAATGCCTGTAGGATTCTAGAGCTACTACTGTCACCATCAACACTACCTGAAGTCTTCCAACAGATGGTGTACACACTCACATATAGACAGAAAGAGAGACAGAGAGGATACCAGGGACATATTTCTCTAATCTTTAATTTAATTTTGGGTCCAAGAGCAATATTTTAGATATATGATTCATTCTTTGATTCATTTTATGATATATCTGTTCCCTTTCAGAAAGTTAGAAGACTACTGACAAAAGGAGTTTTCCTGTGGAAATACATCAATACAATTGGAATTGCTCTCCAAGAGCATATATCAAATACTGCAATCATTAAGAAAATTTTTAAATTTTTAAAAATGTGTGAACAATTCAGAAAAGCTTCTCATTTAGAAGATTACAAAACAATGACTCACCAACTCAACAATCAGTTCTTAAGATGAGTACTAGTGCTGAAATAGAGTCATTACTCAATCCAAAAGCTCCCAAATGTTCACGATCCTTCTTCACAGAAGCCATTTTTTTCTAGAAATATTTTGTATTATGGATACTGGCTAGAATACCTATAATAAGTCTCAAATGCTGCTATTTGTCTATGCTTTTATTAGTTCTCTTACGCAAACAATTGTTTTGGCACAATGTCTCAATGGCGAGACTTCATGGTGTGCACTCAAGCCCAATTTCTGTCAGTTTTAACATCTTGCCTCTGTAATGCCCAGAGGAGACATTTCAGAATCTTTTTATACCCTCTAAGGGCCCAGGTATACACAGACATGGTTGAACATTCAATAAATTTAAAATAGACATAGAAAAATTAGTGCAAAAGACTATAGACATGCAGTTTCTGCCGTTTTAAAGTAGCATATGCATGTTCACACTCAGCTTAAGCCAACATGAAAAAAAAATCTTTGCTTAAATCACAGTTGAAACAGTGTACTCTATCTGTGTTTAAACTAACTGACTTTGGAAACATACCTTACTTTAAAATAATAAGTAATAAACTGTATGTAAGCCTTCGTTTCATAGGCCACATAGGCCATTAGACCTAAATATGGCTACTGCAATGCTATGAATCGACTACACTCTGTTCAGCTTGGTTTTAGTAAACTGAAGACTGTTGTTGCAGGTGTATTAAAATAGTTTTCATTTTGACCAAATTTAATCATTACTGGAATTCCACCTCAGTAACACAATTTCACTAAGGAATGAATTTGCCCTTTTAATGACAAACTTTTGTGCTGTTGGAGATTCATGCTAGCACAGCTTCCACTGCCTGAATCGGCTTAGCTCCATCTTTAAGACAACCCTACTATAGGGGTTCACCCTCTGCGCAAATAACCCAAAAGCCAAAGCTTTCAGGTAGTGTTATAACAGAAAAAATCACAAATAAGACATGAAATTATCATTCAGAAGGGTAACAGGACAAAACTAGAAGAAGAAGATATCCTGAAGTTTCAAAATAAAGAATTTTATTTCAAAATAGTGTTTGAGAATAGCACATCGAGTTGATATAAAATACAAATAGCAAGTTACCATTTTTTCAAATGGGCCAGTTTGCAGAACTATATACTGAAACACTGTACAAGTTCACAAGAACTATTATAAAATAGAAAGTTAATTTCTGATGTTTTAATTTTATTTAAACTATATTTTCACATTTGTCTCCTAATTCTGCTTGTTTTAATTACACAAGGTGCTTACAAGATTGCCTATAGAGTGAAAATTACAAAACAGAATTTAAGAATATAAATATAGAAAGGAATTCCTTACACTACATACTAATATTCTCTGCTACAAAGATACATTTTACAAAAGTGCTAATATCTCTATGACAAACAGTAGCAGATTACATTTAAATGTCAAATAAATCACACAATTTTTTATTTTTTTTCAATTGTCTGTAATACTTTGATACTCCTAATCACTATGAGGGTTAATAAACGCTATTTTCACTTCCTAGTATTTCACAAGTGAAGTGGGAAAAGAAATAATATATCTGCGTGTGTATGTGTGTGTGAGAGAGAGAGTCTGCACACATACGCATATATCCATGAACACAGTTTTTGTAATTATTATTTGTATTTTAACAGTACTGGAAGTAAATGTTTAATAGTAAATATAGTTCCCAGATTTTCATAATCTCAGTAAATAAAAAAAACCTCTGAGTTTCTGTAAGCAGAAACAAGGGTTTGTGTAGAGCAAACTGTCTAAAAAAACTTTTACACAGATAAAGGACTCCCTAGGTTGGTCTTTTCTTTTCTTTTTAAACTGTATCATCCTGTGGTAAAAGTGATTTTTACTAACAGTCAGTATTTGCTAAAACCTTGATACGCTAATGTTTTCCAAACACAAAACTGGAACTGCTCCAGTAGGGCAGGGCAGGAGACTGGAAGTCCTCTTGCCCATCCCTAAAAGTGCAATCAGACAAGAAACATCCGTAATTCACCTATCTGTGACTAGAAGAACATGAGGAAGGACAGTTCATGGTGCTGCCTAGCCCCAGAGAGCATGTCCCCACCACCACGGTGTCAACCACAGACCTACAATGGGCGAACTACCTAGAATTTTTCCAAGGTGCATCTAGTCCCAGTGCTCACTGTGATGCCCCCAATTTCCCCAGAGGCATTATGCCTTACAAAGGCAAAATGCCTCCAGGCACTGCCACTCAACCAAGGCACCTCTTCCCCCTTCCCAATGTGGTTCAGACTTTTAGGAGTCATAATTGATCCCCATGGGCCTGATTCTGAGCTCAGGGAATTTATCAATTTAACTATATGATTCCTTATTAGCCTGCCTATTACCATAATATCTTTGTGCTCTCTAGCTGGAGCTAAACCAATGGAAAATTCTGACATTAATGGAAATGCACTTAGTTTATGCAATACAGATCTGAATCTGGCCCGATATATGCAGAAAAAAATCCACCTATGATAAGAATCGATTCTTGTAGTAACTATCAAAAACAGGTAAGAAACCCTCTGCGTAAATCTGCACTGCGTCAGAATACACCGCAATACTGCAGATGTTAAGGCAAAAAGTAGTATCTCCCAGCTCCCTAGTATAGTTGAGGATTCGGCTTCAGTTACCTTCAGTGGTAACTTGCAGTAGTAGGCACTACTAGTCAGTGTTCACAGGGAGAAGCTTTGGTTACTATCAGACCATTTGTTGACTTAGCTTCACAATCCTGTGATCTTTAGCTTGTCACATTTGCATAAATTGAATTCACTACAGCGGAAAGAGACATTTATGGTCGATTCACTCAACAGAAATATCCTCATGGCTATCCATGACTCTTGTAACAAGGCCTAAACTTACGAGATCCAACAATCTACAAATAGGAAATCTGGAGTGTAGACAGGAAAGTTTAAGCATGTGAGATCGAGATGTGTAGGTGGTTTACACAGAAAAGTTAAAGAGTTACAGACATGGAGGGGAGAAACTAGCAGATGGTAAAGAAAACAGGTACCATTAGTCCCTAAATCTGGGAATGCCATAAACCTCTGTATGTGTTGGACCAAATTCATTTCACAATTACAGAAAATTTTAATGGTATAACAGGGAAAAAGTTGCCCACCAAATCCTAACTGTATTTTTCAAACATCTCAAATCATATTCCTTTTATTTTTAGAGGATAACATACATTTTTAAATGCCTGTTTTTTATAGTTATTTAAAAATATCACTGAAAACATATCTGAGAATAAACATTTTTGCATTTGCTTTTTGCATTCAATGACAGAATTCCTTGATCAAGTCAGTTTTAATTTGGTCTTTACATCCTGTTTAAATTCTGCCATCCTCTGTGGATATTTCTCACACAGTGAAGACATAAATACTAAGTTACGTGATACTGACTATACAGCCACAAACACTGAAAAGGCCACCAACGTACAGGTTTAGATTCTTGAGTTCACTTCTGACAATTTCCCTTTTATAGCCAAATTTTGAAGATTTGTTAGTCTATTAGTTAGTTTGTTAGTCTAAGGATATATTTCACTTCTACAGATTTCCAAAGTCTCTTTCTAAAAAGAAGCATTTCAAGTAATATTAGTACTGAAGTAAAATGTATGTTCTCTATTCTGTCTTGATTGATAACAATGAACTCTTGGTACTCTAGTTCATGGCAAAACTTACATAGACTTTAGTTTGCCAAATCTTCCTGTAGTATCAATACCGACAATGGAAAATACTAGGAATCTCTCTCAAACCAATGAGATATCAAAACAAAAAAAATATTGCCAATGTGACTGCTGCAGCAAAACCAACAGTAGACTCCTGATGCTGATTTTGAATTAAGTTTAAAATAATAGACCAAAGTTGCTTTCACCCCGAAGAGATTGAAATAAAGACATTTTGCTTTTCAGAATGCCTGAAAAGGCATGTTATGCATGGAGGCATTCGAGCGTTTAAACATTAAAGGAGGTAAAGGCAAATACAGGCTTTGCCCTGTAGTCTCTTCTCTGACCAAAACCTGTCACTCAATTCGAATGGCAATTTTGCCCTCATACAGCCTGCGGTATCAGGCCTATAATTCGGTTTCAATAAAGTCTTCCATTTGCAAAGCCAAAAGGAAGATGGAATGTAGCTTGAGTTTCACATACAAAACTATACAATTTGTGTTAGAAAACAGATTTGAGGACTGTTTTTTAAAAAAAATATTTATATGTAGGGAATTAACAGTGCAATACCAGTTGGTTGTGTGAAAATCTTACCTTGTCTTTCTTCAAATGTATTTAAAGAAAAGTTCTCCAGTTTTATAGAGAATAAAATAAAAAGGGATAAATATTTCATGATGGGAAGCAGATCCCACAGCATTCCATGCAGATCTCCAAGCAATCTGAAGATTCACAACATGCGTCCATTATGCCACAGTCCATATCACATGGGCAGTTACAGTCATCCCCCATCTCGTCCCCACAGCAGCAGCAGCAGGCCTCCGACGTGCAGATGCCACAGGATGCTTGTCCCAGAACAATGTTACAGAGGGTGAGAAATTCACAGAACAAGCAAGCCAGGATACAGTGAACACAGCAATCTTCATACGTACCAGTTCAGTAGCATGTCATGTATGAACAAACAAAACAAACAAAAAAAAAAAAGGAAAGAAAAAAGAAGAAATCATTAGTATGTTATTCTAAATCCAGATATGTCACAATATCAAATAAGTAGCTGAAAGACAATGACTCAGAACAGACATAAACTAACACCAAAAAGAGCATTTCCCATCTTCAAAGTCGCTTTTGCAGCCTAACTTGTCTCCAATTCAGTATTGGTTTTGGTGCAAGTTTCCTTTCCCCATTTCACTTCATATGAAGTTCAAGTACTAAACATCCACTTAGATCCATTTCTGCAGTTATTTATTATGTAAAATATCTGTATCTTTTATCTTTGGTCCTAACTTCTTCCAGCAGGCCCACAAAGTGATTAAAATTTTTTTTTAAAAAAAATCAGCTTATGAAGAAAACCATCTAAAAGTATTTCCAGCCTCTCCTAGTGCATCTTGCTTTTCTGAATCTGTTTTGTTGGCTTCTAGTTAAGGAGAAAAATAAGGGAGCTGCCACAACATTTTTGCTTTCTTTATAGTTTTATGCACACCTTAAAACCAGCATAACGGCATGTTATATGTATTTCTGTACTTTCAACAATGCATAAAACATTCAGTCAAAACACAGATTTTTCTATTGCTTTTCTAAACAAATCTCTTGGCAATCCTTCTAACGTACTACTTTAATCTTCAACAGAGTTCACACCTACATCTGAACATCAATATCCATCTCTTGTAAGTACTACTAAATTACATGAGATAATTGAGGTGTCCCACAAACTGTCTGCAAAAAAATACAGCTCCCAAAGAGTAAATATATGGAATAATTGCAAACAATTAATATATCCATGAGACATGACAAGAAAACACAAAGATTGGAACTAAACATGCGTCAGTGAAAAGGAGACCGCAGGAGTGAGGGATATACACAATTTGTTTTCACTCTCCTCCCATAATAAGCACATATAAAGCATATTTAATTTGTAAGAGGCAGTGAACAGTCATTCAAAAACAAAATGAAAACTAAAAATAAAAGAAATGTTCAGGACAAAGAATTATTGTTCTTTCCTAGCCTCAGCTATCATTCTGCTTTTTACTGCTTGCAAGCCTTGAACTCCTTTAGCCACGGACAGTTGAAGATTGGGAAAGTGTTCTGGGGAAAATATCCTGCACCATCTCATCCTTTCCCGGTCCCTACAGTCTATCTCAGGTATCTGCTATGACAGGAAAGACAAGATACTGAGTTATGTGGGCATTTGGGCTCACCGACTACACGTTATGTTCTTACAGTTCACAGACTGGAGACTGTTATCATAGGGGAAAGCTTGCAATTACTTGCAATAGTAATACAATTACCAGACCTCCTAAACATATTCATCATGTCAGAAATGATACAGTAACCGTGGCAAGTACCTTGATTGATTCAAAGTACCTCTAACATTGCAGAAACTTTGATGGCAGGATAGCATAGAGATGCCTTTACACCAGCAAGCACAAATACTTACAGCAATGCAGCGACAGAGGCTCAGACTTGCAACATCTGTCCCAAGAAGCAAAGTAATTACCTGAGCTCTTAGCCCACACTAAACATCACACTGCTGAGGATTGATTTCTCCGACTTACTACATGACTTAGATCCAAACTTAGCGTGGGAATACCTGTTCTGCAATGTGGTCATACTCGTAATATAAATAATGAACACTTATGCCCCAAAGAAAAAATGGAAGTATCAGGAAAAGCAAGGAGGAGAAAAAAAGAAACAACCTCAAAAACTCCCCACCACTGTGCAGGAAGTAAAACTGGGAGGAAACCACAGGTAAGACTGAGCTGTTTTGAAAGAATGTTGTTACTTGCACTAAAAGGCTGCTTTTCCTGAAGAAATACTGTCACTAAATAAATGACCTTCTTAGAAAACCCAGAAGATATGTGAAATAAAGCTGGGGAGTATCAGTTCACTGAAGAGGACCAAAGCCAGACCGATAGCGATTAATTAGCTGGTTGTCATGGAGATGGTGTTAAATTTGTTCAGGTACAATCTCCTTTCAGATTTTCTTGTAATATGAAGGAAAAAGATAAAGAATCCAAGAGTTCTATCTAAGAAGCCTTCATATTTGAGGAACTGAGTTTTTTACTATTATGCATCTTTAAAACACAGCTGAAAGAAGCTAAAACCACAGCAAATGTTGTTCTACAAATGTTTTTTTAAACAAAACACCATAAAAAAACTTTATGTGTATCAGTACTGAAAATAAGATGCTCAAATAAATCTTGCCTGCTTCATGTAGGGATATATAACATTTCAGGGAGAGAAATAAACATTCACAGAAATTATAATATACATATTTATTGACGGGCGAGAGACAGTTCATAGGTTAAACAAAAGGGACTGCAGTCAGAAAACATCTTCTGGACCCACAAAAGAACTTTTCCCTCCTAATCTAAAAAAACACTCGATCAATACTTACAAGAGGCGGCTGTGTTGATTTAAATAAAGGTATTTCAAAGGTAAAAGCTATCAAAAATGGTCCAAGACACAGAAAGACATTTTGGCCATTACTGCTACAACGGAAACTCTGTGGAGGGTCTGTCTTTCCATTTCTTCTTTACTGACTGAAATACTAAAAGGATTTATTTACCTACTGTTTATTTTTATTTCCTTCTCCCTGGATGGTGAAACTAATTTTCCATTCAGAAAATCCTTATATAACTATTTAACTTAACCTACACAAACACTTAACATAAAGTAGAGACATCCTTTACTGCTTTCTTCATTCTTGCAATGACTCATTTATACAATGAACATAAACTTTGATCCACATTTCAAGGACAAACCTGAAATAATCATGCTTTTATATTCTTCATGTTATTGACTTTTAATAGCTATCCAGGTAGCAATTATTTAACACATGACAAAGCAGGCTGTTACCTAGTCCTACCTAACTTGCTGAATTCAGAATCATGACTCTAAAGGTCTGTAATACATTCTGATAAAATGGGTGGAAGAATAATTTCTTACACGTATGACTCGTACTTCTCAGCTTCTTATCTACAGTCACAGTGGGTTTTTGTAATAATAACAAATCTACACACTACGCAAAACTCACACATCCTTCTCTAGTACCCATAGTCCTACAGCAACCTGCCAGTTCCATAGAAAAAATTATATAGCTAAAAAACACTTCCTTTGGTTGCTGTTGCAGGGTATCATGATCAGTGGAATCCAGCCACAAAGAAGATGTTATACAAAGCTCATTCCAAAAGAGATGACTTCAGGTTTTTCATTATCATGTTGGAGACCACTTAAATATATTTCACTGCTTGCACAAGACTCTCTAATAATTCTTTCCTGCTTCCAAGACCAAAGAGACTATTTTAAATTATAGATTATTTTAAATTTGAATACTATTTTAACCTGTTAAGAATAAAGATTATACTTCTACTCTTTGACCTTACCACATCAAAATCCTAATAGTTTTTGCAGATGAGTGAGGAGTGGAACACATTAATCCAACTGGAACTAAGGTTGATTTATATATTTGGGAAGAATTTGGAAAAAAAAGTAAATTTGATGATCTTAATGTCTGACAACACGTTTTCTGGAAACTTTGAATATATTTCAGTCTTCTCTGATAAAGAAATGATATAGTGATATCAGTTATGACACTGTACTACTGTAAAGAGATGCTAGCTTAAAATGATCTATTTCTTTACATACTTTTTTTTGTTTGTTTGAGAATTTGAGGTTTTCTCATTCTTCTTTTTCCATTAGATATACTAATGCAATGAAGAATTAGGAGTGTGCTTTTATCCAGGACCAAACTCCATCTGCCTTGATGTTCATGATGCAGTAATGTTGATAAATAGTTAACTCCCAAGTTTCTTGGGGCTTAAGTGTTCATTAAATACTTTGACAGAAAAAGAAGCAATTAGTCTATGTCTCATTACATAAGTCTACCATTAATGAAGGTAAGCTTTTCCTTAGGACTTCCACACTACACTACATCAGTCACAAATTTCCGTTGCTTTTCAATTCTTCTATTACGCTTTTCTCTAATTAATGTAGAAATGCTGCACAACAGATTGTCACTATCCAAAATTGAGGATGTCGGGTGCCAAACACTGGACAGAGGTATACTTTATTAAAAAAAAACCAAACATAAACCAACCAAAACAGTACATCTGCCCTAGTTCCTTTATCAAACACATTTATGATTTCATCAAAACACTGTATCACATTGTTGATTCTGGCCCAAGCTCCCAAAAGCTACGCTGAATGGCATAGATTATGATAGGCTTGGTCTGTAGGCAGAGATAGTACATATTTAATTAGACCAACTCAGAGTTGGGGAAAAAAGATGAGTTTTCAAATACTCAAGCTTATCTTCAATTATCCTTTCATTTTGCCATGGATGAAAGTTAGACCTGAAGTTAAAAGGGTCATCCCATGAAGCATTTTTGAATACCAATGTAAGTAAAGCTGTTTCCTTAGTCCTCTGGCCCATACCCAAAAGTTACAGATTTGTCAGGGAACTTCATTAAAACTGTTAAACAATGCCAAGGAAAACAGAAACCCAACCAACTCACCCAAGTTTTTCCTGCTTCTATCATACATGCACATCCAGCTACTTTGTGCTGATTTAACCAAAGAGTGTACACAGTACCTGTAACATCTACTTTAACTGGGTTCTAAATGTTACCTCAGACAATATCCAGACAAGAACCAGCCTAACATCCCTTAAAATGGTTTATGCACTGTTATTCAAAGCCCGGGGGGCTCCACTCTCTACCTTATCCTAATTGTAACAGCTATGCTTATTTAAGGAAAAGAAACAATATCACCACGAAAACAACTTTAATTTCTGTCCATGTCTTTAAATGTTTGCACATGCACGCCACTTTCTGTTTCGAATATCCGTGCATACAGATACTACCCTGATATCCAATTCCCTTTAAGCACTGAAATACATATTTCTTTTATTTCAACTTCCCTT